GCTGGATGTTCATTCTCTCCTCAAATCTGGCAGCTCTGACTCTTAATTTTTAAACCTATTTTTACTTACTTTGATGTATAAAGGGACGGATAGCAAACCTTTTAATGTGTGGTAACTTAATACTGTCAATTCTATAAGGGCATTCAGTGAGTTCTCTCCTTGAGTTGGATTGAAGGTTTAAAGGGAGGGAGTGCTTTGAGTACATGACTCTTCACATACCGAAGGTGCGGCAAAATTGCTAACCCCACAGCCTGAGTTGAACAAGATGGGCTTTAGCTTATCATATCATTTAGAGGAAGAAGAGAGAAATGTTTTTCCAGTGTTCTCATCAACTTTTTAATATTAGCTTCCGTGTCAGAGAATGCAGAGCCTACACCTGAAGAGCAAGACAAGTCACTTGACAAACCAAAACAGAAAAAGAATCGCTGTTTCATGTGCAGGAAGAAGGTTGGACTTACTGGTAAGAAATTCTCATTTTGCTGCTTCTTAAAAAGAAACTTAGGCTTTGGAGCTTTGAAAGCATCTTATGGCATAAATGGGGTATGGTCACTTCTTCATGCTGTTGATTGAAAGAGCCTTTGCCCAAGTTTTGTTTCTAGCTGGCTTGTACTAGATCTAGTCTTCCATGCATTTGTTTTGTTTTTCAGCTTCTTTTCTTGAAGTGAAATTTATAACTCCAAGTAGTGCTCTTTTGAAGTCTGCTTAGCTGGGGGTTGGCTGATAGCTGGCTGCCATCTGCTAACCATCATTGCAGTGGGTCAGTGGAAGGGCCAGAGAAGCTTGGGTTGTGTGGGATAATGGTTCAGAAACAAAGAAAGTGATCCAGAAGTCTTCAGGAATGCGTTTTGCACTGATACATAATGCAATAGGAAGGATTGGTCAAGTCTTGATTTAAATACTTAAATGTATTATTTGTGATTCTTATGCTTTCTGCAGCAGAGCTTCTCTTTGGCTGATTGACACTGGTGACAGATTTATTGATAGTGAGTGAACACATTCAGGATTTAGAACAGGTGGGTGTGCTCAGAACACTGAACTGCCTAAACTGATGTTTCTGTCCGCAGGGTTTGAGTGTCGGTGTGGGAACGTTTACTGCGGAATGCACCGCTACTCAGATGTACACAGTTGCTCTTACAATTACAAAGCTGATGCTGCTGAGAAAATCAGAAAAGAGAATCCTGTAGTTGTGGGGGAAAAAATCCAGAAGATCTGAACTGCTGCTCCTGCTGGAATACAAAATCCTTTGACCATCTGCAAATTAAATTGACTTGAGCTTTTTTTCCTTAGTCATCAGGAATGTAGAGCAGTGTACCTTGCCTAGACCTTTTAATCATGCATGTCATCAGATGAATAGATTTTGTTCTTTGTTTTTGTTTTGAAAATGACCGAACATTTATTTTCATTGCAGTTTTCTGTGGCTGAAGACTTAAGTAAAACTTTACAAGTATTATCCTTTAAGATCATTTTAATTTTAGTTGAGTGCAGAGGGCTTTTATAACAAACGTGGAGAAAATATTGGAGGGCTGTGCTTTTCCAGGATAAAACATGCATGCGTTAACTTTGCAGTTTATTTTCTTGTTGTATATAGCATTTCTCTGCAGCACAATTTCCTTTTTTTGATAATGCCTTGTATGGCACAACTAGTTATCAGTAACTGAATGTATTTTAATCATTATGGCTGCTTCTGTTTTTTTCCCATTAACGAGAGGTTATACATGTTCGCATATTAGCTTGTTTGCACCCTCTACCTATTTATGTATGAATCATTTGTAATGAGAGTGTGTGCTGAGATTGTCTGTGTGGTTTGTTTTTTTTTTTTAATTGGTTTGTGTGTATGGGGGAAGGCTGTATGCACTTCACTGACTGCAGGTTCCATTGGTATTACATCCATCAGTCTGTCTGTACACAATATGAAGAATGATCTGAAGTACCTGTGCTGTATTTATGTTTATTCATGTCTTAACTTTGATTAAATAAAATTAAAAAAAAAAAAAAAATTGGAGCCCCTGTGGCTGTCACTGGCATCAATAACCTGGATCTCTCCTGCTTTGTTTTCACGGATCCTTCCATTGATGGTTCCTTTACTTACAGTGCATTTGTCCACAGGCTGTACGTATCCCAGTGCCAGCTATAGTCTGATTTTATGTTTTGTGCAGCATCCCTGACATGTGCAGGAGTGGGGTTATCTGTGATGATATGCTTAAGTTGGGAACATGCCTACAGATAGGTGAAAGCAGTGTCTCCAGCTTTATTGGCGATTAGGCCCTGGAGCCAAGCACGTGTGACTCTGGTCCTAGAAAATACTGCTCTGGGGTTTGTGATTCACTGTGACAGAGCACTGCACAAACCTTGAAGTTAGATGACAGAATGCGTCCTGAGACAGCTCCTCCAGTGGCATTGTGTTCTCAGGTTTGAAATCCACAGGCTCCAACATGGAAAGCTGCCACAGCCACCCTCCATATGCATCAGCAGATCTGCAGGTTTGTAAGTAATCCTCTTGTGGGGGGGTAGGGAGAACCTTTCTTACCATTTTGTAACTGTTCAGTAATTGTCTTTAAGACCGTATGTTTGATCAGACCCATAGTGTTTCACCATTCTACCACCCAGGTCATCCACATAAAGTCTGAGTAGTTTGTGTAGTATGGTAAATTCAGGCAGTGCTGCTTATCACAGGACTTAGCAGAGCGCTGAGGTGGGACTAATTCCTCTCCAGGTGGTTCTGATCCCTGGCTGAAATTCCACGTGGTGGCTTGCGGCTGCCTTTGAGCGTTTGTGAAATAAATGGAACTGTGTGGCTTTATTTAAGATGTTAAATTTTTAATCAAAGCTGGCTGCATCCTTTAAAATTCTGAATGCTCTTTAAAAGCTATGGTTGGCAATTAGTAGACGAAGCATTTAGCACAAACACTACACAGCAGAAGGAGCTTTCTCTATCAGATTGCTATGGAGAGTAATTTGCAAGACCAGTCATAAATGAAGTATCTTGTTCTTGCTGAAGTGGCTTACTCACAATTGATGTAGCAAAGTGTTGTTGTAGTAAAGGAGGGGAGAAGTAACTCCATGTTCCAGTAGCAGTCTACACCTATGGGTCAAAGATCTTACATTTCCTCAGAGCACTTGCTAAACTTCCTCTTATGCAGCATAGAGAACACAAGAGCAGCAGCTTCTTTTTTCGTGGCTGTTTGCTTTTCACTTAGCCACCGCTTTACTCTTCTCTAAAGCTTTCCTTCTGAGTTTAACAACTTCCTCTTTAGTATTTTTGGTCTCTCCTCCTTTATCTAGAAGTATCCTTTTCTATTTCCTCTGGCAGTGATGTTTCTGGGCTAAGCAGAGAGGAGATGCCATCAATTTTGCAATGGGGGAAAAACAATTGTTTTGTAAGTTCTGGTATCTGAGAGACTGGAAGAAGAAAGGGCAGAGAAGCAGCTGCCTTTGGAATTCATGTAATCCTTACTGCTGCCTGTTATGAAGCAATAATTCTGCTGGCCCTTGATTATAAGGTAGGAAATGCAACTGTGCCAAGAGGAAACTGGATTTGCAGTGTGATGGCAGTGCTGACTGGCAGGGTCAGTCTTGGGTAATTCTGTTTCTACACGTAACATTCTCAAAATAACCTAATAAATCTGTTTGTGGCCTGGCTTGTGCAGATTGCTCCGAGTAAAGAATATTGAAAGATGTAATATTGAAACTTGGACTGGAAATCAACCTTTCCCTGATAGTAAGTTGGTGTTTGCTTTGGCCTTGGCTTCATGTTATCATGGTGGTTGATCTGCTTCTCAGCCTGGATAACCAGCGATGCTTTTCATATTCTGTCATCAGCATTAGGTTAGCAGATGAACACTTTAATTAATACCAGTACATTCACAACACTACAGCACCCTTGCATAAATCTTGTTTTTCCAGACGTGTGCTGCGTATTTGATGCACGCTTTCAAGATGTTTTCTTCTTGGAGTATGCACACACAATTCCTGTAACCTGGCATGAAACCACTTCGCAGTGTTAAACGTTCTCAGTGGTCACTGGAACAGTTGTATCTGAGATGCACCGAATTTGCTTACGGGGAATTTTGCAGGAGTTGGTGTGAGGCATTGTATTGTTTGAAATAAGAACCCATTCCAGATGGCACCACGTGAGCTGTCTTTGCTACCAGTGAGGAGCTGTCACAGATGGGCTCTTGTCACTGGTGTTGTGTCATCTTGTGCTGAATCTCTGCCTCTCCAGCTTGTTCTGTTTCTTCTAATGAGTCTTCTCTGCCAAAAAAAAAAAAAAATAAGTTCTTATAAGTTCTTTGCCTTGGCAGTCACAAGCTGTCTAACCATGCTTATTGAAAAGGTGTGACCTCTTCTATTTGGTTTCAGTTTCACAAGTATTCCCTCATTGGTTTCTGTTTTTCCCAAATGTGGGTGTCCCATGCTTTGGGTAAAAGCTGGGCTGGTGATCAGAAGATGCCACAGGTTTCCCTGCCCTTGTCCTGTTTGCACAAACCCGTTTTTAAGCTATTGGAACCGTCTGGCGAAAATGTAACTTGGATACAGCATTATGAAGCTAAAAAGAAGGTGAAGTGCAGCTGGAGGTGACAGTTGAGCACTTTCTCAGTGTTGCTGAGCTGCTGGCAGAAGAACTGCTCCGTTGAGGTTAGGTGGGGACATCGTTCTCCTGCCTTGCTGTCAAGTGAATCACCCCATGGAAGGTAAATGGATGGCATCTCTGGTCTCAGTGCCCCATCTGGAGCTCTCTGCGTGGATTTCCCCACCTGCAAGGATGGAGCTGCTGAGGGATGGCCTTGGTTTCACATAAGGGTTTATCGAGCAGGAAAAGCCTGTCTGCGTGCTGGCCCCGTACCTCGACAGGAACAGTTAGCAGCTGCTGACTCATGCAAACCTCTGGCACTAATTAACCGCGGCTGCTGCCAGCAGGATGAGGGGTGGGATGCGGGCAGGGCTGTGATTGGTTTGGGGCTGCGGATGGAGGGTGGGATTTGGTGCTGCTGTGCTCCCCCTTGCAACATCTGAAGGGGCTCTTCCTTTGAGGTGGGAACGCAGTGGCCCAGCAGGTCGGAGCCATCTCTGTGAGCATTCAGCATGTCTTTCATCCACGTGGACAAGGACTCAGATTTCCCTCTTCAAAATCTCCCCTATGGGGTTTTTTCCACCAGGGAGGAGGTGAGTAACAGCACGTGTTGTCCTTGGGCTGTTGTAATGGTGTGGATCCTGTGAATAGGAGAAACTCCCAGCGATGTGGGATAAGGAAAAATCTTCCAGGTGGTGCAGGTTGCTGATATGACAGCAGAGCAGCAGCTACTGCATTGTCTTTTTGCTTCATGTAGGGTTTCTGGTGTCAGCCTCCTCAAAACCATACTGAAGAATGGAAAGTGTTAATACTTCTGAGGAGCACTTTGACTGCTGCGTCCTATAGGTCTTGTGTAGTTTTGATTACTTTTATTGTTAAATGAATTGTCTCCTGCAATAGCTGTATTTGTACGTGCCGTGTTCTGGCCCTTAGCAGCCTGCTTTCACCAGCTGGGTGGAGTGGTTGCAGGAGTAGTAAAGCAGAGCACAGCATACACGTGTTACTTCTGTCTCTGCTGCAGCCCCATTATGGCTTGTTGGGCACGGCACTGCAGCAAAGGGTTAAATGTGCCAAAGCAAAGCTGTGCCCAAAGGCTTGAGCCAGCTCTGTTTTGTCATAGAATCATAGAATGGCCTGGGTTGAAAAGGACCACAATGATCACCTACTTTCAACCCCCTGCTATGTGCAGGATCGCCAACACCAGACCAGGCTGCGCAGAGCCACATCCAGCCTGGCCTTGAATGCCTGCAGGGATGGGGCATCCACAGCCTCCTTGGGCAACCTGTTCCAGTGCATCACCACCCTCTGTGTGAAAAACTTCCTCCTAACATCTAACCTAAACCTCCCCATCTCAGTGTAAAACCATTCTTCCTTGTCCTATTACTACGCATCCTCATAAACAGCCATTCCCCCTCCTGTATATGCTCCCTTTAAGTACTGGAAGGCCACAACGAGGTCTCCCCAGAGCCTTCTCTTTAAGCTAAACAAGCCCAGTTCCCTCAACCTTTCCTCATAGGAGAGATGCTTCAGCCTTTTGATCATCTTAGTGGCCCTCCTCTGCTTCTTTCTTGTACTGGGGACTCCAAGAAATGTGGCTCAACCTTTTCCAAAGAAGAGAGCTCCCAGTTCCTGGGTGCTGAGCCCCATTAGGCAGCTGCTGACCTGAAACCTGCAGCCACCCAATGCCTCAGAGCAGCTGTAACAGGCCCTGGAAAAAAAAGAGAAATACCTGGGAAGGAGGGACTGGAGGACTGCGTACTGAAACTTCATTGCTATCTCCTGGTTGCTGCTGTCTCTGCTTATCGATACTGGTTTAGAAAAGAATTTAAGCCCAAAGATTGTGTTTTCTGATCTCTTATTTTCCACGGATCAAAACGAGATGGTTCGTTTAATCTTTTCCTAGGTGCATGCGTTGTTATCTAACCAGTCTGGATTATTTTTCCACCTTCAGACTGTTCATCGAAGAAAACATATTTGCTAAGATCTTATTAGAAGGCAGGCAAGCGTTTATGGAAATTATTTGGGGGAAAAATGTTTTTAAAATGGCACTGTGTCGCCCTGATTTTGAGCTATGGTGGTTGATGTCGTGCACCTCAGTTACAAATTAACCTGATGTGACCTTTAGAGTGCTCTGCAGGAATGTTTGCTGAATAAATCCTTATCGCATTGGGAATCATGCTTAGAAATTAAAGATTAAGAAACATCTCGTTTGGAAATTCAAGGTTAAAAAATAGGTTTAATAGCATGGATTTTCATCAGTGATTTTTGTTTTCCATTTTGTTAAGTTAGTTTTCCTAATGAGTGTAACCAGACTGTCTCTATTTGCTTAAAGGCGTGGGTAATTGAAATTTGCCTTTGAACGTGGCAGAGTTTCTGAAATGCCCATTCCTCAGTGGTGGAGCTGCAGTGTGATGGGCTGTGATGGTCTGTGCTGCTCTGAGCACCAGCATGGTGAGCCCTTCAGGACTGCAGCAAATGAATGGGGGCTTTGTCATCCGTCAGGCAACACAACCGTGGCACTCTCCTACACAGGCAGGATGCTTTCCCTGCAGTCAGGATTGCACCAGTGTTCACAGATTGCTGTGACATTAGATCCTGTCCTCATGGATTCGGCTCCCTGCAATTGCTGCCTTCCTCCGTGTGTTCTTTGCAGAATTTTTGGCTACAAATGTAAACTCTTTCTCTGACTCTCACCGCTTTGCAGCCTCGGCACAGGATTGGAGTAGCAATTGGAGACCAAATTTTGGATCTCAGTGTAATCAAGCATCTGTTTGATGGACCGGCTCTTGCCAAACACCAGCATGTCTTTGACCAGGTATTTATCTCAGTCTATAGTTTGAATTTCTGCATGCTTTTAAATATGTGCATGAAAGTTGTGAGCAATGAGCAATGAGACATAGACAGCAAACTGGGAATGCTGATTTTCATTCAGCACTGAAGCTCTTGGTCCGTTTTTAGCCTGGTGTAGTTGCAAAGTGGAAATACAATGAAGCAATGCCACCCATGTTTTAAGTGGTAAGGAGAAGTGAAAGAAACATCCAGAATGAGCAAAGTATTTCCAGTCACCTTGAGGCCTTTTCCACTGAATCGTTAGTGCAGCACAGAGCAGTGCTAGCAGCTTTCCTCATGAAACTTTGGATTTGGATCTAAGGCAGGAACAGAAATGCAAGTTTCCCAAAGTCCCATTCTGGGGGCCATATGGAGTGGTCTTGGGAAGACTACCACCAAGATCACTTAGTCTAGATATCAGCCCATGCCTGTGACCATTCTAAACCACGTCCCTCAGTGCCACATCCCCACGGTTCTTGAACACTTTCAGGGATGGTGACTCCACCGCCTTCCTGGGCAGCCTGTGCCACTGCATCATCGCTCTTTCTGAGAAGAGATTTTTCCTAATATCCAACCGATCTCTGTGACAGGGCACAAATTTGGGGCATCTCATGGGGAACACGGCCAGCACCATTGGCTGTGCTACGCTTAGAGGCAGAGCCTGTGGCTGTGAGGATGCAGCGGGGGCATCTGGGGCCCTGGATGTTTTTTGTGAAGCAAAGCTCAGTCTCTTATCTATTGCCCATCAGCCCACCCTCAACGCCTTCATGGGGCTGGGTCCCACAGCCTGGAGGGAAGCCCGTGCCCTGCTGCAGTCACTGCTGTCAGCCGCCGAGCCGACGCTGCGGGACAACGCAGGCCTGCGGAAACGGTGAGCCAGCGTGGGCCTGAGGCAGCTGCCCACCATCTGAATGGGATCCCACTGCTGTTTGTGCCTAATGACAGCTTCAGGGACAGCTTCCCACCCTTTGCTGTGTCTCTGGTTAATCACTGCCTGCAAATGCGATCATAGAACCATTTGATTGGAAGGGACCCTTAAAGGCCAACTGGTCCAACTCCCCTGCACTAAACAAGGGCACCTACAGCTGATCAGAGTTCCCAGGTGTCCAGGGGACACATGGAGCTCCATGCACACCAACCATGAGGGAGGTGGCTGTGGGACCTCCAGCTCGTGCCTCCCCCTATCCCAGCAGTGCCCTTGTTTTTATTTCAACAGAAAGGAATCGCTGCAAGGCTTTGCAAAGTAAAATAAGGATGGAGCAGCTTCGAGAGATTCTCAGCCCTTTATGTGCTTGTAAACCACTTCAGGGTGAAAGCCACAAACTGTTCTGAGAGCTGAAGTCTTTGTCTTTTGTTTCAGGGCATTTGTACCTCAGGCTTCTGCTACCATGCACCTGCCGGCACACATTGGTAAGCCTTGTGGGTTGCCAGCTGCTCAGCTCTGCCCTTTGCTCCTGCCTAAAGGACCTGCTTTATTTCCAGGTTGCTCAGACTTAGCATAGCTGTGATGGGGAGTGGGCTTTGTAGGAGCCAGAAGTAGCTCACTGTATGCAGTGCATGGTAGGTGCTGTCTGCAGTGCAAGAAAAAAAGCCCAGGGACGCTCAAAATCAGCCTGAAAATTCCTGGATGTGGGTTAAGGGTTGTCCTTTGCCATGAGATCCTTGTCATCAGATTTGCAACACCAAGGGTCTTTGTGGCTGTGATCCTCACACACCTTGCTCTCTAGACTCTTCACCATCTTCGTTGTCCTCCTGCGGAGGTTCTGATGGTTTTACGTCCTTCTTAAGTTACGGCACCCGAAGCTATGCACAGCATTAAACGCTCAGTTGGCTGCAGCTCGGCTTCCAGCACAACATCCCCCAGCAGAGGGCAGCAGCTGCCCGCCCGCTTCGGCAGGAGCTCCTCTCGTGCAGCCTTGTATCCAATTCCAAATGCGGCTGAGCGCCTCTGCACCCTTCCCTGCATCCTTCCCTGCACCCCTCCCCACTCTTTTCATCAGCTTTAGTCCCAGCACACGAGGGGCTTTTCCACATCCTTTGCTCCACATCCTCTGGATTTCTATCCATGCAGGAGATTACACCGACTTCTACTCGTCGCGACAACATGCCACCAACGTTGGAATCATGTTCCGGGGGAAGGAGAATGCTCTGATGCCCAACTGGTGGGTTATGAGGGTGGCTGTGTTGTGTGCTCACGCGTAGGTATATATATGCATTTTTAAAGGTCAGGGTAACCCTTCAGCAAAACACTGATTTCAGCTCACACTGCTGTCAAGAGCTTGAGAAAAGAGCCCCAAATCCCACTTCCCCAACCTGTGCTGGTGTATCTGCACCAACCACAATGAACCTCTGGTTCAAGGGCAGATTTACCTAAGAAACTGTGTTCTGCCAATTGCATTCTGGGTTTAAGCTTCAAGGAATTAAGCAGAGCATTGGCACGGGAGTGCATTAGCACAGCTACATGGTTGCAGGATTTTGTATGTCTGTATCACAGAGCAAGGATGGTGCAGCTGTTTTTGCCCGTCTGTGCAGAGCCTGCTCCTCAAACCTTGCACTCTGTGCGGCCCATGAAGCTGCTCTGGGCGCTGTGCTCTCAGATCTAACCTATACTCTGTGATGCTCTTTCCTGAGGCTGCACCTGCCTGTTGGGTATCACGGCCGGGCATCTTCTGTTGTGGTGTCCGGGACACCCATCCGGAGACCTGTGGGGCAAATGAAACCTGACAATGGTGAGTCCATGACAGGCTTTAAACATGGTCCCTTACTCTTTTTTAAACTATTGTTTTCCCTGCACATTGCAGTGTAGGGTCTGTGATGTTCCAGCTGGGGTCAAGGCAGAAAGCAAGGGGAAGCCAAGAGCTAAAACTGCCCTGTGTTTGCGTGCCAGGCAGCATTGGATGCTTTGTTTCTTCTGTACAGTTTTCATTTTCATTTCTCTGTTTGCTTCTTGCCTATAAAATACTCTTTTTTATGCCCACAGATAAACCTCCAGTGTTCGGTGCTTGCAAGCGTTTGGATATCGAGTTAGAAATGGTAAGATGGGTTTTTTCCCCTGCCATTTTAATAGATAAACATTAAAAAGAGGGGAAAAAAAGGTAGGATCAGCTTCTAAAATGAATATTACACGATCCACTTATCCATTTCCTCTGAAAACTCCATATAGCAGGCAATGAACGTTTCTGTGGAGGAAATCTTCCCTTCTGAGGACAGCAGGGTGTTTTAGATCATCCTCTGTTTTGTTAATACAGCTTTGAGACTGGAAACAACTTGTCTGGTCAGACGTGAGCAACCTGGAAGTAAGCAGATGGCAGGTTCTCCTGTCAGGCACCACAGCCTGTTCCCTGGTCAGCAGTTCTCATGGAGCTGCAGCCAGGATCCTTTCCTGGATGTGGGGGATTTGGAGGCCCAGAAAGGCTGTGCAGGAGCTGGGGGAGCAGAAATTGCTGCAAGTGAAACCCAAGCACCTCATCCTGGCTAGAAAGAGAAAACCCATGCTGTGGGTTTTGTAATTAAATATCCTTGGACAGTGCATCTTCTTGTGGCTTAGCGTGGTTCCAAAGGAGAGAGCTTTCTAGGGTTCCCTGCTGTGATTTCTGTGGCCTATGTTGTTTTACATGGGAGTAAGAGAGATGCTAGGGCATGGTAAACACCCAGCAGGGACATTTCCCCACTACCTCCTGTCACTGTAGTCACCCACTGAGCAATGCAATGACTTTAATTCTCTTTCATCTTCACAGCCCACAGAAAATATGAGTGGCCAATGGACTGATTTGCAAATGGAGGGACTAATTTTTCTCCTTTGCTTTGATACAGTCCTGCTAATTCCTGTCTCTTGGAAATGCAAGTCTCCTAAGAGTTTCAAAGTCTTAAGGAGGGGAAGAAAGAGGGAGTAGGTTGTTCCTTGTCTAATTAGTACAGGAAAGGATGCAAAAAACCATGTCTTGGCCAACCTCAGTTGCTCTGACATGTAACCCTCTGTGAAGGGGTGAAGCTTTCTACCTTCAGAAACTTAACCAACATTTTGATTTTCAGGCATTCTTTGTAGGACCTGGCAACAAGCACGGGGAGCCGATCCCAGTCAGCAGAGCCCATGAGCACATCTTTGGAATGGTCCTTATGAACGACTGGAGTGGTAACCAGCACCATGGGTGGGGTCAGAGCGTTATGGGGTGCCCTAGAGATGGATGAATAATGTTTTTAAAAACACATTCATGGGCACTGAAACCACTGGGTGTGTTTCAAAATGAAATACTACGTGCATTTCTTAAGCTCTTTCTAAACCCATCTTTGATCAATCAGTAGAACCAGTGTCTGCTGCCTAATGAAGATTGATCTACTTATGAAAGAGCTAATATCCATCTAGCAGGGATCGAGCAGCACTAAGGATGGTGATCTAAACAGAGGATTGATTTCAATGTCAAGATTAGGAAATAATTTGGCAATCACAAATCCCTCTGCCTATGCAGAGGTTTAAGCAGACAAAAGCATTGTTATAGAGGTGAAATGAGCCCTCCGGCTGGTGCAGCCCCCTGGCTGGGTGTCAGTTTAAGTGAACGGAGGAGGAAAATATGGTTATGGATGACCTAGCTTGCTTTAATTATCCCTGACTACTTAATGTAGCTGGTCTGAGAACTTTGGCTTGAGAAAGGGAATGGAATTAAACCAGAATTTGGGCACAATGGCTGTAAATTGGTAGTGAGAATGTTTCCAAGTCCACACAACTTGTTCTGTAGCTGTGCAGAGGTCTTTCACCAGTGTAGAGGCTGTACAACTCCAAGTATGTTTAATGGCATTACTTTCAATTTTCCCTTCCTAGCCCGTGACATCCAGAAATGGGAGTATGTTCCTCTAGGCCCATTCCTGAGCAAGAGCTTTGGCACAACCATCTCCCCTTGGGTTGTCACCATGGAAGCTCTGCAGCCATTCCTGCTGCCAAACCCCATCCAGGTCAGCAAGAGAAAAAGGCTTGAAACTTTGAACAGTTTGTAAGTGTGATCCTGCTTCAAAGACACAAAGAAAGCTTGAGCCCTTTGAATCCAAATGCTGACTGATGCGGCACAAACACGTGGTACCTGCCATCCTGCCCACTCGAGCAGAGCAGAAATATCATCTCCTCTAAAATGTCTTGAAAATGAACTGATCACTGAGCTGCTAGGTCATGTTTGGTAGTGCTTAGCATCCAGAAAGCAGGAGGGAGAGAAAGGGTTCGTGCCAGAGTACTTTGTTCAAACATCTGCGTTATGTGGAACTGTAGTTAAAATGGGAAAAGATAATGAAGTTCTTACAGAGAATTTACCACCCTCTCTGAGCAGGCACAGAACAGAGATGTGCTAGCTCTGTATTAGTTTTGGATTAACATCTATGCCAAAAAGATGGAGAGGGCTTTTGGAGCCCAAGTGCAAAAGAGGGAATCTGAATCTGCAGGATATCACATCTGCTCAGAAAGATCCTTAAAAGCGTGCGTGTGAGAGCAAGAAAAGCAATAATCTGAACAGTAATAATGGTAAAGTAAATGGATTGTAGCACAGCCTGCATTAACAAGAACTCACTGAGATGGCACATGGAATTTTTCCTTTTTGCTTGTGTAAACTGTCACATCTTTTATATGACTTTAGGATCCCAAACCACTGCCCTACCTTCGGGATGAAGAACCCTACACTTTTGACATCAATCTCTTTGTTGCAATAAAAGGTATGGCAGTGTGGAGCCAGCTGTAAAGCTGAAATCACCAATTAAGGACTGCAGAACCCCCCCAAGTACATAAGGCAATTTGCTCTAGGCTCTGCATTCCTCTTTTCTTGCAAAGCTCTTCACATTCCCTCTTGGCCAACCAGTGATGCACGTAGAAGGGAATGAAGCCCACCTGAGGATTGCAGATAATCAACCTTTGATGAGGAGCCCCTATGGGGGCTGTCTGAATGGGTGGGCAAAAGTTGGGCAAGGAGGAAGCAGAAATCCGTGATGTTAGGCCAGCACAAAGCCCAGTTAATGGCCTCACTGAGCAGAAGGTCCAGTTGTTGTCCGTATTGTTGCTCATTCAGTAAAGGAAATGATCAGAATTGGGTAGCTTGATGTTACGTTGGTGCCATCCATACACTTGTTTTCTGGCCTTCTTAAGGGAATGGAAAATGTTATTTGCTGCTCTGCTGCTAGGGATTGTAATGATAAAAGGAGTCATCCATCTATAAATGAAAAGACTCCATCATTCATCCAAAACAAATGAGTTGTTTCCCTGTTTCTTGCATTTTATTTTCTGCAGGAGAAGGAATGAGCATGCCAACCACTATATGCAGGTCCAATTTCAAGGTAGGACTTTGGCCTCTTTCACTTGCTTGAAATCTTGCTGATGCTATCAGCTCAGCTCTTAGGCAGCCTCAAATACTGATTTTTGCATTAGTCAAAGATCAGGTCAGGTTTGGGTAAGGTTCATAGAATCACAGAATAACATGAGTTGGAAAGAACCCTTAAGGATTGTTGAATCCAGCTCCTGGCACCTCACAGGACCATCCAAAAATCAGTCCATATGCAAACAGAGGGAGAGGAGAGGATGGTAGTGGCAGCTTTTCCCTCCATTGGGATGAGAACTCCCAAGCACTGAACAAGAGAGCAGCTCCTCCTCCTGCTCAGCTTTGAATTCATGTAAAAGGGCTCTTGCTGTGCCACAGTGGAAGACAGCCTTGCAGTCACAACTTGTACCTCCCATGGGGACACAGCCGTGAGCCCAGGTCTGCCCTGGTACAGTATGTGGGCTGGTGAACCATTTTAAGTTCACCTTTGGCTCTGTTCATCTGTAGTAATTACCTTAATCAGTAAATCAGCAGTCAGCACAGCAGTAATGAGGAGATTTTTCTATAAGCCTGTTAGAATACTAAACCTGATCATGGATCCTGGGCTAGTAGTGCTGGCCTTGAAGAGGAAGAAGAGGATAAATGGTATCTGACTGAAAGAGGAAGAATTTTAAGGGGCAAAGTTACATGTTATATGTCTGAGTTTATATGCATGCAACAGCCCCTTGGTCATCATGGGCATCCTGGTCTAGTACCAGGTATGGAGGTTGGTGGTCCTGCCTGTAGCAAGGTGGTTGGAACTTGAAGATCCTTGATCCCTTCCAACACAATCTATTCTATGATTCATTCTACTATTCTGTGATCATATAGAAAGCTATCAGCCATGTCACAGTTACTATTAGAAATGCAGCTGGGTGTGTCACTTTTAGGCTGCTGAAGGTTCCTGATTAAATAAGGAAATATCTTTAGGGATCTCCTGACCAGCATCATCCAGAGAATGCGATTCCTTCAGCACAGGCAAGTGACAAAGGTTTGTCCTTCATTGCTTTAGCCTCTTCCTCCTTCCTGCAGCACATGTACTGGACCATGAAGCAGCAGCTGGCACATCACTCCATCAATGGATGCAACCTTCGACCTGGAGACCTCCTGGCATCAGGAACCATCAGTGGGCCTGTGAGTGTTCAAGTGCTGATAGCACCAGTAACAGCTCAGCAGATTTAAAATACTACATCCACAGGCCTAACTTTGCAAGCTATCACTCTTGTACGGGGAGTGGTTGCAATGTCTGAGTAAGGTACTGGCACTTGCTGAAACATCAAATATAATCACTCTTCATGCTGTCTTTCAGACAGCTTCAGGGTAAGTGGTTTCCAAACATTGATACCTATCCTTCCATTCTGAGCACCTCTGCAGTGCTTTCTGCTTCCCCTAACCCATTCTGCTGCAGATTGACATTGATGATTTATAAACCTTTGCCAGCTTTGCTTCTGAAGAACAAAACATAAATAAAACTGCAATGTGGTTATATGAAAGCATGGGTTTTCAGGAGTGCCCTAGATTTGTTTCCATGCTCTCTGTAGCTGCCTCAAGCGGCTTGTAAAGGATTTAGGACTGCTTTAAACATACCAGATGAAGCCATGACTGCTTACAGCAAGCAAGGAATTGTAATGCAAAGGCAAAGCAATAAGGCAGTGTATTACCAACAAAGTAAATCAACAGCAAAACTCCATTCTCTGTGCTAATCTATTTGTGAATCTACTTCCAGCAATAAGTAGCTTAGCAGTAGGACTGTTACTAAAGAGACATTCACCTGTTGATAACTTTTGCTGCAGGAGCCTGAGAGCTTCGGCTCCATGCTGGAGCTTTCTTGGAACGGGACAAAAGAAATTCCTCTTGGCCATGGACAGTCTCGTAAATTTCTGCAGGATGGAGATGAAATCATTATAACAGGTAATGGCAGGAGGTGTTTCCGGGTGTTGGTAACAGCTGAGGACATGGCTGTGCTCCGTGTGCACGCATGCAACCCCAGCTCTTTCCATTCCTCTGAAAGAGCTGTGCTTAAGAGCTCTTTCATGCATTCTCCCCTAGTGCTGGTGTTTGCAACAGCATGGGCTTTGTTTTCCTTCTGCACTGCAAAGCATTTCCTTCCCACCCCTGACTGTCTTCAGTTACACTTTTCCTGGCCTCTAGCAATGATCCAGCTACCAACCCTAAACCTTGCAGGAAAGTTCAGTGGGCAAAAGCAACAACAGGACTGTGGCATGTGCTGGCAGGCTACAATTGCCTTCTCTAATTAATGCATTTAAAGCTGAAGATCTGTTACCGAGCTGTATCGCTACCACAGAAATGTTTAATTGGAGAAAACCCAACACAGTAGAGCACCAGGACATCTAAGTAAAATGTGAGGCTGAAGGTAGGCACAATGCTTACTAGAGCAGTGTTTCTGGTGGTGCTAAAATGGATGAGCTGACAAAATCCAGCATAATGGATTGGTAGTGCTGCAGGTTGGGTCTGACTGCAGGAATATTGCACATCTTGTTTGTTCTTTGATCACATTCACTGAACTTGCATATTGCTGTGTTTCACCAATAGTCCTGGCCTATTTGAACTTCTTTTTTTCCCCATTGCAGTTCTTAAAGATTTATTTATCAGTCAGATTTCAAGACTACTGTACTCTTAACCCCCTTTACACACATTCTTAAATGTAGCAGTACCTGAATCAGCAGCTGTCACAGATCACAGCTCCATGATGAGAAGGGACAGTGCTGAAGGAAGATCCTGAAGGAAGATCAGACCCAGGTTCTCCTTGTACTGAGGAAGGGGTTAGCTTCTGCTCCCATGGAACAGCATTAAGATGAGAGGGAATGGCCTCAAGCTGCATCAAGGGAGGTTCAGGTTGGGTATTAGGAAACATTTATTTCCTGAAATAGTGGTGAGATATTGGCACAGCTGCCCAGGAAGATGGTGGGGTCACTGTCCCTGTAGGTGTTTAAGAGCCATGGGGATGTGGCACTGAGGGATGTGGTCTGTGGGCATGGTGGGGGTGGGTTGATGGTCAGATAATCTCAGCTGTCTTCTCCAGCCTTTGTGATTCTATGACTTTTCCTGATGTCTGACAAGAAGGACCAAACCACAAAGCCTCACCGTGCTCGTGGGTTGGGATCCAGCTTTAAAAACGTTCTTGTGTTTGTGCATCTAAAAAGTAATGGAAATATCCTTACCATAGGATAGCCTCATCACGACATCTCAACGTGCGCAGGCCTGGGCACATGCAACCCAAATATCCACAAGGATAATTCTATTCATTCATGGCAGAACCCCACTGTCCTCACAGCACAGCCTGTCTCCTGTTTTCTGCCCCCAGGTTACTGCCAAGGCAGTGGCTTCCGCGTGGGATTTGGTCATTGCTCAGGAAAAATCCTCCCAGCTGTGTCAGGTCTGTGATGTTTGTGGGAAGGGAACATCCAGGAGGAGGAGTAAAAGAAGGTGGAATATAAGGGAAAGGAGAAGGAGGACGTCTCCCCAGCCTCTCACAGCTGTGCTACAGAACTCAGATTTATTATTTTTATATGACTGATTGGAAACTTACTATTTTTAATTATCAATAAATATCTGCAAGATGAATGTGGCTCTCTGGTGTGATAAGAAAAGTTTTTCTACCCTAGCTTTAAAGTTCTTGCAATGTGAGAATAGGGTGATTTAAATAGAAAGCGAGATTTTTATCTCTTCTACATTAATATTTTTATCACAGCTATAAAAAGGTCTTCAAGTAAACTGAAATATTCATTAGGTTGGTGATATAGCAGAACTTAAATCCTGGCTTCTTTTTTTCACAGTGTTCATCTTCTAGGGGTAAAACCCCAAAAGTGGATGCTAAAACCCAGGAACCATTTGGAGGAAGATTGCTCCAGGAGCACCCCCTAAACCAATGCACAAAAACACAAAATTGAACATGATGGTCAATGCAACTGACAGCAAAACAACAGGGTGCTAAAGGAGCAGCCTTTTCAAAAGGGTGAAAACAGAAATTACACTGTACCAAAGGGAGGGTGGCAGCCCCAGCATGATGATTTGCACTTTGTCCCCTGTCAGGGAACAACACAGGTCCGGGTGCTGGCAGCTCCTTGCAGCGGGCAGTGAACAAAGCACATGGCACTTCTCTCCTGTGCAAAGGGCATCTGCCTCTGTCCCATGGCCTACAAATCAATTTAACGCCATGGCCCAGTGCCAAATCACATCAATTAGAGGACATCACTGGCTGAAGGAGCTCAGGAGAGCAGATAATGAACTCTGGTATGGTGCAAGGGAATCTTGCCAAATATCTGCTCGGTCCTCCAAGTGAAGGGGCTGATGGAGCTGTGGATTTCGTGCAAGGATAGCAGTCCCAGGGCTGCAGATGCATTCCCAGAACCAGGAGCCCCTCATGCTGGGGCTGGGGGCAGCAGGAGGGCAGGCTACGATCCTGACTTATGGAGCTGCCTGTAGGAGAGGGTCTGGGTGCACCACCTCCAAACATGGGTGTCAGGGCATGCTGACATTTAATATCACCCTTGGGGGAGTGTGCTGTGTGACCCCTTGGCCAGGCAGGAAGGAAGAGTGAATCTGGAATGAAGATTAATGAACAAATGTGACAGTGCATAAATCATTGCTAACAGGGCATGCTTGCTGAAATGGGATCTCTCCTGGGCAGCCTCAGCGTGCAACAATAACAGTCCCTTTCAAGAATGATGCTGGGAGGATCATCCTCAAATCAACTTAAATTTTTAGCTTAAGACATTCCACTGTGGGCATAAGGGATGACCTGGGCAGAAAAACAGCTCCTTGTTTATATTAAAAAAAAAAAAAAAAAGGAATTTTTTCTTCAGGGTCTGTTAGGTACTCCGAATTGAGCTAATAGACAGATACTTATTTTAATGCACTTTCACTTAGATGGCAAATGACCTTGAAGGACAACCACAAGCTGCCATATTCCCCCTTGGATTTGGAAATAACTCGTGTGATCCTTGATGCTAAAGCTGTGGCAGCTCCATATTTCATCTTGCCATGATGCCACCATCCCATGGAAGCACGGATGGGTTTTGTATGCTGGAAGGAAGGCTGTTTTTCTGAAAAACCCAGGAACAATCTCTGTTGACAAGAGCTGATGGAGGTGTCAGGGCAGTACGTTGCTATTCATGGATTTTGACCTTGATGCAAGTCATTTTGCAGCCAGGAAGGACTGCAGCATCAGTGCTTTTTGGGTACAGGAATATTTGTTGGAAACCATTAAAACCATTGTGCAAAGGCAGTGCAGCTACATCTTCAATCCCAGTTCCTGGTCAAAAGCCTCTGTGGAATGGTGGGGACAGGCAGGAGGTGACAGGGTGTTCCCATAGCCCCCAGGTGCTTCCTGACTTGATTAAACCTGAGAAATCCCAGGCTTCCAGAAATTGATGTTTTCCTTCCCAGAGCTCACACAGCTCTCTGAGCAGATTTTGGATGTGGGCTGGAGGAAGTCCAAAGCTTTGGTCAGGACAGAGCTCAGAGACATGGACCGCCTGCTGCATGGCCAGAGGCCAAAAGTCCAGCAGATGCTAAAAAAGGAAAGGAATGGTTTTTATGGCCAAGGTGAATTTTTTTTCACCTGCAGGATAAAGATGTGGGCTCATGGTGTTGGAGGCATCTCCCCTTTGAGGGAGGGCACCCACGAGGGGAAAAGGGTGGGTGGAGCAGGAGGATGCTTCAACCTGGGGCCCTTGGTTCTGTGCTTACAATGCTTACATCTTGGATCAACATTTGCACCTGGTGCTGGGAGGAGTTTGTTTCTAAAGGGCCATTTAAAGTGGTTTGACCCTCCCTACAAAAAGCTTCCTCTCCAAGTATGGAAGCTTCTATTGCAATTGGATTTGAAGGTGGAGCTCTTTGCATCTGGATTTTACTGCTTTTAATTCAAGTCTGCTTTTGTTAGTTTTATTGTATAGCAGTTTCCAACAACAATGAATGAAGTAAAACTTTAAAACCAGAGCTCTTCTACTTTGTCACAGCGCTGAGATTGTCACTCAAGTGGAGAAGAAAAAATTCCCCTGTGGATCTTCAGAGGCCTGGAGGAAAGGTAAACCCACCCCAGAGGGGTTTGGGGCCATGCGGTATGGAATAGGCTCCTTCCCTGGGTGGGGGAAATGCTCTTTCAGAAGCTGTTCGGGGTTAAGGCAGTGACTTTGTTAGAAGGGATGCTGTTAGTAGGTGATATTTGCATCCACTTTCTTTCTAAGAGGCCATTTCTCAGGCTCAGGATTGCCACCTCTGCTCAAGGTGCCCACACTGTCACTGCTGTGTGAGAAAGAGAGATAATTTCTGGGCTCTAAAGTTGATTGAAAGCTCTGGATGTGTTTGGCTGTACGTGAGGGACATGCTGAAGGTACAGCCCTGTGCTGGGATTGGTCTGCAGATGGCTGCTGCTTGAAAAGCTCATTTGAGTTTTAAACTTGTTTTAACACCCTTCCTTTTCCTTGTGGATTCAGCACACTTAATGCAATTTTAATACTTTTTGTTTGATTTTTGATTTCTCCCTGGACAAGTTGCAGTACAAAACAGGGAGCTTTGTAATTAAGCACATCACTCAACGCTTCATAATGCTGTTGTGCACTGAGATGAACCCTGAGAGTAAATGCAAATAGAAGTCTTAAACTGTGCGTGGCCTTAAAAACACATCTGTGGTCAGTGTTTTCCTCCTGGGTTACAAAAAGGAGCAGTGGCCAGAGGGTATCGACTGCTTTTAATGAAAGGAGTTTAAAAAGGAAAAGTGAACATGCAAAATAATACAGATTGCAATAAGGTATTTCCATGGCCGTGCTAAGGCATGGTTAAAATTGGGGATTCGGTATCCTCTATTTAGATCAGTTCATCTGGGCTGCGCAGAACCAGAAGGCAGCCATAGAGATTGGTGTAATGGCCGGCACAGCTGGGCCAGTGGGGTCAGGAGGAAAGGGTGGCCAGGGCTTGGATTTATGCCTGTGCATGGAGCTTTTATCCATTCAGGAGCTGCTCTGAGAGCAGCATGGTAACTCCAGCTGCTGCTTCTGGTGTAGGGAGCGGCTTGTCGCAATCTGTGCCTGCATTGGATCCTGGCGAGTAGTAAACTGCAACAGACACAATTTCTGTCCATGTTGAAGCTGTTTATTGCATTAAGTAAATACATCTGCAGTAAGTTTGCATTATTTCCTCTGAGTGCAAGTGCCGGTAGTATGGCATAATGATTAAAAACAACAGAACTGGCAGAGGCACTTGTTACATGCAGCTGCAATTAGTGCTGAGCGATGCAGCCCCTACCAACCTTCCACTGCCCAGGAACGTGGCTCTGCCAACCAGACTCCCAGGAGATGGAGTAACAAACATGTGCTGGGTGGCCAGGTCAACCCAGAATGCAAGCAAGGTGAAGCTTCTGCTTTCAGCTTGGTGTTTGGTATTGCTTTTAGTTAAAGTGGTGAGGCTGTGTTGGTAACCATTGGTGGAAGGCAGAAACTGGAATATACATATATACATTAGAAGTACAAAAAACAACCCCACCAGTGTTTAGGTAGTCATAGGAAAAGGTTTGATGTAGGGGAGGCTTTTTGCAAACAGAAAGTAAAATAAAATCTTAAAATGCTATGTATAGATGAAAGGGGGGAGTGGGGGAAGATAACCACAAATATTCTTGTGAGGTGAACCTATTTGCTTCCCCAGCGTTTATAACCTTTTGCTCTCATATGCGCTTCCTTCCCCTGAGGGCTGTGTGCTGCTGTCCATGCCCAGCCAAAGGCACAGCACAGGGCTGACCCTGCTCCCTGGGAGTTCAGGTCTTAAACTTCAGAATATGCATAAATCCTTAGCTGAACGGGGGCTTACTGGTGGTGTGCAGCAAAGCCAAAGCATCCATATTCTCCTTGAGAGGACTATTGGCACCAGGAGTAGTGACAAGCACTTTTCTTGCTGTGTCAGTTCTGAATATAGTCAGGTAACCTGAAATACAGAAGTCTCTGTAGGCTGGAAATAGTTATTTTACTACTTCTTGCTTTGTATATTCTGTAGCCCCACTGGTATCAAAATGGGATATGGAACTTAATGACTAAAAAAACAGGCTCTAAATGTCAGTGGAATGGAAGCAACACCCTTTGAGCTGGGGTATTGGTTCCTATGGTGTGGATAGGCACGCACATGGATGAGACCAACATATTTGCTCAAAGAGTGTTGGTCTTTAACATTCACACTTATAAAACTTCCATTACTAGTGGTTAATTAGGTAACAGAACCTGAAGCTGAACAGCAGGCTGGTGAGCAATCTGCAGTGGATAATTGAAGCAGTGGAGATCTCTTGGTAAAGAAGAGCAGGATTAAACCTGATCCTCAAATCTCCCTTCTGAGTGGGCTCTCCTACAACACAGATTAGCTGCAATTGTGCAGTTGAGCCTAGGGCAAAAGGTGCATGCGAAGTTTCCATATACCTCATAGCCTGCTCTTCTGTAGTCAGTATTCCTTGGAACTCCATGGAATGGGCAATAAAATCAGGTGCCATCAGAATGATTCAGGATGTTCTGATCTCAGTAAAAGTACATAGAGTTCTGGACAAGCTCTCTGTTGTGGAGATTTTCCCTTCCCTTTTCCCT